TGCATTAATCAATGGCAATGTGATAAAAGTTTCTCTCAATGACTGTATAAAAAACCATTATGTTATTCAAAATGGGTGACCCTGGAGGACATTATGCTGAGTGAGGTATCTCAGTCACAAAGGGACAAATGCTATATGGTGCCACTGTTGTAGAATGGAATTCAAAAATCTCTGTAGATGTTCATTGAAATGAAAAATAAACAACCTAAATTAAAAAAAAAAAAGATTGAACTCCTATCTTTAGCAATGTTTACTATACTGCTGTTATTGTTAGGTGCTTTTAAGTGGAGTATGACCCATATCAACCACCACAGAGAACATATATGAGCCCTGTTCTGTGGCATCATCTTCGTCTCTGACACACTTGAGCCCACTGTTGCAATCACCATGTCAACTCATCTCTGGAGCACTCTGACTGCACTTTTTCCAAGACATATCTGTTTGTGTTTTTGGCAGTCCTTGGGATGTTCAGTACTCTTCTGCAATACCGCAACACAAAGGCATCAATTCTTCTGACATCATTATTCATTGTCCAGCTCTCAGGTGCATAGTAAGTGTTTGAAAATACTGGCCTGACAGTGACCTGACATCATTACTACTGAGTAATTTGGAGAGGTACCTGACAGTGTACTTGTTAAATGCAATTCAGCACCTGATTTCTCCTGGTACCCAAGGTGTTGATTGTGAACTCAGGTAAGATAAAACTATTCACAATTTCAATCTTTATCTATCATAAAGTTACCTATCATTTTATAGCCTCTGAAAACCCATTGGAAAGTTAGCTATAAATTGGTTCTCAAATGATGGCACAAAACAACAGCTCATGTGATGCATTATTTTTTTTTAGTCAGACCTAAACAATTAAAAGAAACACTTGCTTATATCTTATGTTCCTAAATGTGTAATAATATCATGACAGGGAACTCCATTGGTACAGTCTGTAGGAAGTTGTTCTGCTCACCCAAAACCATACACCTCTGGCAGTTTGAAACCACCAGTGGGTCCAGGAGGGAAAGATAGAACATCTTCTCTTATGCTATTTACAGCCACAGAAAGTTTATCAGTCAGCTGAGACTGCATATCAATGAAAGAGAGAGAGAGAGAGAGAGAGAGAAATATCATAAATCCTAAGGCAACAACTAAAATTAGGTTTTACAAAGAGTTTTTAAAAGCCTAGAAGTGAGAATACAGAATAAATGGAAGATCAGACATTCTGGGTATTGTAATCGATGTTATGAACTAAACGAACATGAATGTTTGATTGAGAAAATAACATTCTTTGTAAACTGTCACCCAAATCAATTAAAATAAGATAAAAAGTGTTAATCACTTAGATAGTATTGAATTTTTGTTTACGGGGATGGAAAATTTGGCAATGGATATTGATATTGGTTGTACAACATAACCGATGTGGTTCAGTTTTATTGAACAGTATTATCTGAAGAATATTGACATAGCATATAGGTTCTTTTTATTTTTATGACAATAAAATATTCTTTAAAAGTGAAGAACTATAGCTGGTACACCATTTGTGTGCTTACAATATTATAAAACAATAAACTAATTTCCCTTACTGATAGGATTTTAGGTAATTTTTGTCTCTTTAAATAAGACCATGTTGAAAGGATAATATATAATTACCTCAAAGACTTCTAAATTTTCTTTTAAAGTTATTTGAGAACTCTATTACTGAAGACTCATTCATAGCAAGGAATTTCTATAAAAGACACAGATGTGGAGTATACTCATGGGCCTCCCTCCATGGAATACACAGGAATCAAATTGACAACATCTGTTGAAAAATAAAACAATAGAAAACTCAATATCATCAGTCAGAACTAGGTCAGGGATCTACTATGAAATAGACTATTATATTGTTCATATGCAAGATCAAATTGGAACTTAAGAAAATAAAAAAAATCTAGAACAACCAAATTATCATTTTGAGTATACTCCAGTTGAATTTAGAGACTCAAGAATAGATTTGATACATTTAACACTAATGACCAAAGACTACGTAGGCTGTGAAATGACTTCAAGAATATTTTACATTATGAGTGTAAAAGATAATTGAAAAGACAGGAAAGAAAAGGCCAAAATGGTTGTCAGAATATACTCTGAAACATGCTGTAAAATGTAATGAGGCTAAAGAAAAAGGAAGAAATGAAATAAAAGAGCGGAACAGTAGATTTAAAGAGCAGCTCAAGAAAATAAAGCTCAAGAAGATAAAATATTGTAACTAAATGTGAAAAAACTCAGAGTTAAAAAACCAAAAGGGAGGAACATTTCTTAAGGTGAAATAACAGAAGAACAAATTTCTTTTGTTACAATACTGAAGGATTCTATGGGCAAAATATTTAATGATGTAGGAGGCATCTAAAGAACATAAAAGAAGCATAGTCATGTGTTGTGCAGTTGACACAACCTTGCTTGCTGAAAGTGAGAAGGAGGACTTGAAACCCTTGTTGCCGCAAACTAAAAACTATTGTTGTTAAGTGCCATCAAGTTGTAGATGACTCATAGTGACCCTATGATAAAAAAGGCCTGAATACTTTAATAATTCTCATAGTTTTTCCAAGTTAATAGAGTTTCCGGAGGCAAACGATTTCTGAAGTGGATGCCACTCCTGTTTCTAAGATCAAAGACTACAACCTTGTATATGGATTACATCTCAACATCAAGAAAACAAAGTTTCTTACCACTGGGCCAATAGGTAGCATCATGACAGATGGAGAAAAGATTGAAATTGTCAATTATTTTATCTTACTTGGATCCCCAATCAACTTCACTAGCACAAGCAGGCAAGAAATCAGACATATTGCACTGGGAGAGTCAGCTGTCAGGAAACTTTACAAAGTACTGAAAAGCAACAATATCAGCTTAAAGACTTAAGTGTACCTGATTCGTGTCATTTCAGTCACCTGTTATGGATCTGAGAGTTGTACAATAGCTATGACAGAATATTAATAACTATGACAGCAGGATTAATGTCTTTGAGTTGTGGTGTTGGAGAAGAATGCTGTGTGTTCCATGGACTGTCAAAAGAACAAACATATATGACTTGGAGAAAGTGCAGCCAGAGTGCCTGTTGGAGGCAAAGATGGCAAAGTTGTACCTCATATTCTTTGGGCATATTGTTGTAAGAAGCTATTCTTTGGAAAAAGACATCATCCTTGGAAAGGTGGAAGATGAGTGAAAGAGAGGAAAACCTCCTGTACGATGAATTGACACAGTGGTTTCAGCAATTAATCAAGTATATCAGATGTGATAAAGATGGCACAGGATAGGACAGGGTTCAGATCTGTTGTTTATTAGGTTGCTATGAGTCACATTCAACTCAACATCACCTAACAACAGCACGTAAAAGAATTGGTTGATGCTCAGATATTTTGAGATGGAACATATTAACAAGAACTAATGGTACTGAGAAATTAGATCAATAATATCATAATACTATGAAATGCTATATTCTGATAAATTTGAAAACGTAGCGGAATGGACAAATTCCTTGAAACTAATGTCCTGCCCAGATTGACAAGGACAGATATAAAACACCTGAACAGACTCATCACAAAAGCAGAAATTGAACAGGTCATAAAAATACTTCTCCATAAGAAAAGTCCTTGACCAGATGCCTTTACAGTTGAATTCTATCACATATTCAGAGAGAATCTATCACCAATTCTACTTGAATTATTGCAAAAGTAATTGGAAAAAAGGAACACAACCAGAGGTATTCTGCAAAGCAAGAATAACCCTAATACCAAAACAAGGCAAAGAAATTACCGAGAAAGAAAACTACAGATCAATCTCTCTCATGCATATGTTGTGTTGTTGTTATGTGCCGTCGAGTCGCTTGCGACTCATAGCGACCCTATGTACAACAGCCCTAAACTCTGCTCTATCCTGTGCCAATTGCACTGTCTCTGACACTCCCATCCCGATTACCCCAGTCACTGAATCAATCCACCTCATAGAGGGTCTTCCCCTCCTGCGCTGTCCCTCCACCCTCCCAAGCATGATGTCCTTCTCCAAGGACCGGTCTCTCCTCACATGTCCAAAGTATCTCTCATGCATATAGATGCAAAAATCCTTAACAAAATCCTAGCCAAGAGAGTCCAAAAGCACATAAAAAAAATAATTCATCATGACCAAGTGTGATTCATAACTGGTATAAAAGGATGGCTCAACATAAGAAAAACAATCAACATAATTCACCTTATCAACAAATCAAATTACAAGAACCATATGATTTTAGCAATTGAAGCAGAAAAGTCACTTGACAAATTCAAAACCACTGCCTGATTAAGACACTCAGCAATATTGGAATA